AAAACTGTTACTAAATCAGCCTACTATCACCTAAAGAATATATCTAGGATTAAAAGACTAATGTCACAGCAGGATTTGGAAAAACTTGTCCATGCTTTTATCTTCAGTAGACTCGACTACTGCAATGGTGTCTTCACAGGTCTCACTAAAAAATCTATTAGAAAGCTGCAGCTAATTCAGCACGCTGCTGCTCGAGTCCTCACTAACACTAAGAAAGTGGATCACATCACTCCTGTTCTGAAGTCTTTACACTGGCTTCCTGTGTGTCAAAGAATAGATTTCAAAATACTGCTGCTGGTTTATAAAGCACTGAATGGTTTAGGCCCAAAATACATTTCTGACCTCCTGCTAAATGATGAACCATCCAGATCTCTCAGGTCTTCAGGGACTGGTTAGCTTTCTGTCCCCAGAGTCAGAACTAAACATGGTAAAGCAGCGTTCAGTTATTATGCTCCAAATATCTGGAACAAACTCCCAGAAACCTGCAGGTCCGCTGCAACTCTGACTACTTTTAAATCCAGGCTGAAGACTTTTCTTTTTGTCGCTGCTTTTAATTGAACTATTCATATCTTAGACTGCACTGTAACTTTTATCCATGTACTTTTTTTCTTTTAATGTTTAATTGACTGCACTGTAACTTTTATCCATGTATTTTTTCTTTTAATGTTTATTTTATTAGCTTTTCTTTTTAATGACTGATTTTAAATGCCATTTTCTTAATCTCTTTCATTTTTTGTAAAGCACTTTGAATTGCCTTGTGTTGAAAAGTGCTATATAAATAAACTTGCCTTGCCTTGCCTTGCCTTACAGCTCAAAACATACAATTGTTAAGGGGATGCAGACCAGAGAAAGACTTTCGTCTTGTTTACATTAGGGTCCCCCATTTCCAATTCATCATATCATTTAAGACATATAAGACATATTTGACATACAGATGGCTTATTTAAAATTTACATACAGGTGGTTTTTTACATACAGATTGCTTATTTACAATTTTCATTTTAGATTTCGTTCTAATACATCCTAACCGGACATTTAAGACACCCTGATGCTTCTTGACATGAGAGCAGTTTCCCAGCGGAGTGAAGAAAACACATGAAACTCACGAGAGTCACTCCTCAGTTTATACCGTGTTTTGTTTCAATTCATGTATCATTTAGTTACAAATATGTGATATATCTGAACAACAAAGTGGTCAAAAATCATTTTATTCATTTTTTGGAAACATTTTCATGATCGCTTTTTTCGCTTTACATTTTCATTTATTGTCATTTCCATTCAGTCAGTCATTAAGTGCTATTAAAATGTTAATGTGCTACATATCCACACAAACAAACAAAGTGTGCAATCCCATGAATGTTCTAACTGGGTTTAGATAGATAACATATATATTTTTCTTCTCTCAATTATTTTATTTCTTTTGTGCACTCTAATCAATATTAATCCAACTAATGTTCGGTTATACATTTTAAGAATGGCGTTTATCTTTTTTGAGAATTAGTTCTTATTTTATTTTATTTATTGGGGTCTACAACAGATGCTACAAATGTTTGTGTCAGTAAATGTGTACGAACAGAGGCGGGGGTGTGTGTGGAAATAACGGGGACAGAGCTGGCTGCTGTCAGACGATCAGCTGTACAGCGTAATCAAACGGACGTCGCTTCACGTGACGCTCCGGAGGAAAGGACGTCCCATTGCTCTTAAAACTAATTTCCCTGCTTCTCGTGGTTCCTTGCGTCTCTCCATGCTTCCCTGGTGGGAGGGACTAGTCGCAGGGAAACGACGCAAGTGAGGGACGCAAGGAATCCATTTAACCGAAGTGAGAAGGGCCTATAGAGAACCGCAGTGACGCGTCCTAAAACCCGGATGTAAACTCCTTCCGGTTCCTTCGTTAAAAACGCAATGCAATTTCTCCATAGGATTTTGGAAAATAGCTCGAAAATAAGGTCTGTGGTTGACACACATTTAAGAGACGGATCACGTTTTTGTTCAGCCGGATAATATCCACATGTCTATCCTACTTTTATAATTTTCGAAGGATAAATCTAGTCGCAAGAAGCAAAATGCTAACGTTATGCTATAAAGGAACTAGCAGGGTCGCTGCTTCAACGCAAGCGGCAAACTCTGGGGAAGAGGCGGGACGCCAATACGGAAGTGCCACACACTGCAGTTCATATATTGGCCGATAGGCGATGGCTGCAGAAAGTAGCAATTTCCATAGACCCCCATGTTAAAATGCCCAACTTTACAGCAGAAAAAAACATGTTTCTACCCCTGGCTCCATACATTTTTATTATCGATATAGTTAGATTCCACCTTCATGATTATGAATCTGTGAGTGAATTGTTTTCTAACACGACCCTTTTATTTATATTAGGTCTTAAAGTGTTTGCATAAATTAGGGCGTGGTCACTTTGATGGACACGTACATGCCTCACTGTCAGCTAACAGCAACTTGTCCACTCTGCTAGGCTACAACCATAGAGGCTAGCTACAACGTTAGTTAGTCATAGTACTGTACTTGACCCTTTAGCTTTAGCCGTGTTCGTAGTGATTGTGCCTTTTACGGAATATTGTTACAAATACCAGACAATTAAAATGTCGTGCTGTGCGCTTGAATGTACTAACAGAACTTCTAAGAAGTCTAAAATAATAATATTATACATGTTTACCCCGTTCGCATGGTGTTTGTGTGCTGGGTAGCTTAGCTTGTTACTTATTAGCCAGCTAAGGAGTAACCCTTTATGCATACATATACATTTTAGTTTATGATTCAGCCTTGGGTAAGACTGTTATAGTCTATGGCTATGACGCCCATAATGCTAAACGGGAGCAAATGTTAATAGGGGACCCCAATTATCCCAGTGTTGGCTGCCGGAGCTAACGGAGCCGCAGGGGGCTAGCTCCAGCCGGCCGTCCCGGAGCTAGCCCACTGCGGCTCCGTTAGGTTACCGGCGGTGGGAGTCCGTCGTTAGATAACTGGAGATCAAGGAATGCAGCGAAACGCAGACTTGGTTCGCCTGCTGTAGTATTAGCTAAATAAATTATGTTGAACAAGGCTTATTAAGCTGAACATCGCCACAATTGTTCTGCTATGTATCGGTACTTCTTTTCTTAACGTGTGAAGGACAAGCATTAAGAATAACAAAATATAGCTAATTATCTTGCAGATTGTCTCATTTGATTATGAATGTAACGTTTATATAGGGGAACTACACTGTTAGCAGTAACTTGGTATGCATGTATTTCATGTTAGCTTAGCTTCTTAGCCTGAGCTAGCTTCTGTTTACTTCCAGTTCGGAGGCAACAGGTCCCGCCTCGGCTCCGCCTCTTTTCCCTTATTTGGAGCAGGCGGGATTAGACTCTGACGTTGCTGTCAAGCCGTTAGTGGCCGTCTCCGCCTACTAAGGGCTTCACGGCAACTCTGCAGAATCCTATGGGTGACGTCACGGACACTACGTCCATTTATATACAGTCTATGCTTCAACGTCCCGCCAATTTAAGATCCATATTCAAAACATACAGATTGTAAATGGTACAAGTTGAAGTGTTTGTTTGAATAGTTTGCATGAGGCAGGGTACTTGCTTTGAAGCAGAACAGGGGCAAACAAACTTAGCGGGAGTGTTTTACGTGTTCGGTGTAATGACGTTAAAACGGCCTGGACAACTTCTGTAGTCCTATTCAGTCACTTGTCATCGTTTTTCAGACACGTAAACTCTTCAAAAATCACCAGGGTCACTGCTGATGTATTTAATGTCGTAGAACAAAACGTGATCTGTCTCTTCAATTTGTGTCAAACACAGACCTTAGTTGGAGCTATTTTCCAAAATCCTATGGAGAAATTGCATTGCTTTTTTATCGAAGGAAACCGGACGTGGTAAAAATGCCAACTTACTTCCGGGTTTTAGGACGCGTCACTGTGGCACTTCTATTGCTCTTAAAACTCAATTTCCCTGCTTCTTCTCGTGGTTTCTTTGCGTCTCTCCATGCTTCCCTGGTGGGAGGGACTAGTCACAGGGAAACTACGCAAGTGAGGGACGCAAGGAATCCATTTAACCGACCTGAGACGGGGCCTCTCTTCCTCTGCTGTTCCCTTTAATGTTTACTTCCTGTCTTTCTTCTTCTTTTCTGTGTCCTTTTAAACTCTTTCCTCCTGTTGTGCTGTTTCTTTGTTCTTGTTCTCTTTTTCTTTTCTTTACTGGGGACAGTTTAGCCAAGTTTTGTGCTCTCCAAAAATATAAATGTTTTTTATGGTGTTTTCTGAAGGAGGAATACTAATGTCCTAAGCAATGGTCTTTTTCCTTTAGCAGTTAAAAAAATAAGAACAAATGTTATGTTGAGATTTACTTCAAAGGTAAATGCTTTCTGGGCAGTATTAAGATCATGAATTAATGGTCTGAAATTGTAAATTTGTTCAGCTGATTCTGGCTTCTCAGATGTGAGAACCTCGTGGATTAATAAAAGTCTGTATTCCTTTTATTTTTCTTTATTTTTCTTTCTTTTTGTATTAATTATAATAAATATATAATAATTTATAATATAATATCTCTGTTTTGGACTTTTGATTGGACAAAACAACCCACTTCAAAATGTCGCCTTTAGCTCTGGACAATTGTGATGGATATTTGAGATTTCAAACAGTTTTGTACCAAGTGTGTACACAGTTAATGCAAAACAATCTTCAGATTTATCAACCAGGAATATAATTGTTTTTCATTAAATCGGCTATAAACCAAAGGCTTTGTTTTAGTGAGATAATAAACATGATATCAAAGTCCTAGCATGTCCTTTAACTACACATCAGTCAATTACCTGGTGTACCTCCTTGCATAGACACTACCTTTAACTGCCTTTAAACCCATTGAAACACGACTATTAAAGTGTGATTAAAGTTGCTTTAACCAATAAACCTTAATACACATGGTTAATTATAATTACATGACAGGCCCACTATCAATAACGGTCTGTTAATTAACTTTTTCTGTGTTTTTGTCCCTAGATCTATGCAGCTCTCAACATCTTCTTTGGCATGGCGAGTATTGGCCTGCTGACGGTGGTGGCCATTGATCGATACCTCACCATCTGCAGACCTGATATAGGTATTCAATCACTGCAGTTGGGGGATTTCAACTTATTTATATTCCTACTGATATGCTTGTTTGGGCGGCCATGAATCAGGAGGTCAAGCCGTAGTCCTCATGTCGAAATGTTTTGGGCGAGATACTGAACCACAACATTCACCTGGATGAATGTCTGTTAATGAGAATCAGTTTGGCAAATTGTATGGGATCACTATAAATGTGTGTGTGGAATGGATGAATGTTGTCCTGCAGTGTAAAGGTGTTTTGAGTGGTGGGCAGACTATAAGGCGCTATACATAGTTAAACAGCTCTTGTCTCCATGCACGTGTTTAGAACTAGACTGACTACAGTATCCATTCAGTAGCGTTAAGCCAAGCCCCCAGGATGTGCGGCAGGTGTTTAAGCACATTTTCATAGTGGCCAAACGGTAATATTAAAACTTCCGTATCAGTCATGTGATGCCATTGAGCCCAAACATATTTGTTCCCATTGACTTACATTGGGAAAGAGACATCTGTGAATCAGCATACTTAAAGCATTTTTAAAATAAAGTACACTGTCTGAACATTTGAAAAACCCTAATTAAAATGATTGGATCTTAAATAAAATGTGCTAATAACCGACTACAGAGTTATTTCCCACTCCATTCATCTGATGACCGCTATTTCATGTCCAAATAGACATGAAATAGGCGGGAGGCGGTGTTTGAAGGATCCGGGTACTTTTGCTCTTGAGAGTCAGGCCATTTTGGCTTCATGCCTCCAACGCTGTATCCCGTTCTCTTTACACATCCATGTGTTTATCAGGCAAACCTAACTAAAACAATCCAATAGTTTGGCAGTAATGTCAAATTGGAATCTATGTCTGTCTGTCATTC